AAAATGTGCCACGCATTGCTGAAAATGATTGTTAGAAAAAGTAAAGCTTTACACCTGACACTTCATATTCCCAATGACTCTCTGTGTCTCACACTCTTACCTGTCTTTTTTCTAGTCTCAACCATCTGATAGGACCAGCATTTCTATGGATATCCTTAACTCCAGTAACTCTGGTGTCAAGTTTGACGTGAACAAAGGAAAGTCTTCTGGCAGCAACTTCCTGTAGTTACTCCAAAATCCTGAATTATCCCTGCACGGGATGTAGAAACAAACACTTGTTTGTTAGATTCATATAAAATCCAAGCCTTAAAAAGAATAATAATAATTTTGGCCTTAGAACTAATAGGACCTTAATTAAAACTACTACTTAAATAGTTTATGATGAGACATATTCTTTCAGGACTCAGTCTAGCTTAAGTGCTATAGCAGGATATTACAATTTGAAGAAGAAAAAAAACGAAATCCCTTTATATATTACGTACTGTACAGTACCTCAAATCCCTGTTAACTCTTTTCACATGAAAAACAGCTTCCAAAGAGGCGTGTCTTTTTTCTTTCCTCTTAATGTCACTCTCTTGCTGCTCTTTAATAGTTGTTGAATGATACCAACGATATTTAAAAAAAAGCTACCTCCATATTTTCAGCAAAATGTTTTCATATTAAAGTCACATTACAATATGGACAAAAGAATGACTCACCCTCTGAATGGGCTTTCAGCAACACCCAATGTTGACAGATATGTATATTCAAGTGAAAAGCCAAGCAATTTCCATAGACACACACTAGTTATGACCTGTCCTGAAGTTCAGTTTAAAGGTGAGTGTGAGCTACCATTTTCACTTTATCTAATCTCTCCATTCAGTCAGGCTGAAGAGGCTATATTTTACACAATGTGTGGAACTACATGTGATACGAAGACATTATTTTATTATTGTAGGATGTAGTTGTGCAAATGTCCATACACTATTGACAGTAGTGTATTCACTCTATTTACTTTTTTGCCAACTTTTATGTACATGCTTACCTCACTCTCTTGTAGTGTTGGGAAACAACAACAAAAACCTGTAACCTGAGAAACATCTCGGTTACGTATGTAACCTTGTTATGGTATAGCGTTCCCAAAGCGATGACGTCATCGCAGCATCGAAGTGAGCCTATGAGAGGGAACATCTCGGTTACGTATGTAACCTTGGTTCCCTGAATAGGGGAACGAGATGCTGCGATGACGTCATCGCTTTGGAAACACCTTCGGTGTGACGAATGTCTGAAGCCTTTATACCATCACGCCAATTCATTGGCCAAATAGCGCTTAGCACCGCCCCCAATGCGCACGTAGGTGAGCTATATAGCGTGCTGCGCGCTATTTTCATCAGATTTCACTGATTTACAAAGGAAGCGCTATCAAGGTACGGAACGGCCCAGCATCGCAGCATCTCGTTCCCCTATTCAGGGAACCAAGGTTACATACGTAAGATGTTCCCTCTCATAGGCTCACTTCGATGCTGCGATGACGTCATCGCTTTGGGAACGCTATACCATAACGCCTGACATACCTTAGATAGCTAGAAGACCAAGGAAAGTGTCTGCTCAAGCGGATAAGACCCGGGAGCCAGGATCCATCCTTACGTCCAGACTATAAAACTTGATGAATGTGCTAGGAGAGGACCATCCTGCTGCAGCACAAACATCTTCCGTCGAGGACCCTTTAAAGAAGGCCTGCGAAGAAGCCACTGCTCTTGTAGAATGAGCACGCACCCCTAGAGGCGAAGTCAAGCCACGCACCTCATAGGCCAAAGAAATAGCCTCCACTATCCAGTGTGACATCCGCTGTTTAGTGACAGCAGAACCTCTGCTCTTACCACCAAAACACAC